ATTGGAGGCAACATGTCTTGTAAAAACATTCACTAATGTTCTCACTGCTTTGTACTTTGTCTGCTGCAGTCCATCAACCCTCGACATCACATACATGTAAACTGTTAAAACAAGAGCATCGTCAACAAAATATCTGTTGACTGACACCATATTTCACAAATCTGATGACTTTCTGCATTGGCAGTAGCAACATTTCAGCTTCATTTCTTCAAACAATATGTAGAAGAATGATGCAATGCAGTAATGCCTCTGGTGTTTTTTCACTCAGCTATGCCCAAGGACTTTGAAAGCCTGCTTGGGCACTCTGGTCCTTCCATATTGCCCCGTTAGCACGAAAAACCCAAACTCCAGGCCAAACTGTATATAAGCAGCATCCTTGTACATTTAAGTCTAATGAGAATGAATTAAGCTGCTGTTTATTCTGAATATTAAAAATCATGTATTGGGTTTGTGCAGCAAGGTTTTGGTAGCAGGGGGGCCTCAGAGGTGCCTTCTATGAGAAGCTGCAAGAAGCTTGTCCCATGTCTGATAAAGTCAGTGCTAGCCAGCTCCAAGATGGACCTGCCGCTGGCCAAGGCCAAGCCAATCAGCAACAGTGGTAGCACCCCTGCAATAACATACTTAAGAACGGGAAAAAAAATTGCAGGAGGAGAGAGGAGTGAGACTACGTGAGAGAAACAACTCTGCAGACACCAAGGTCAGTGAAGAAGGAGGAGATGCTCCTGGCACCAGAGCAGAGGCCTTCCCTTGCAGCTCGTGATGAAGACCATGGTGAGGCAGGTTGTTCCCCTGCAGCCCATGGAAGTCCACGGTGGAGCAGACATCCACCTGTAGCCCGTGGAAGGGACCCCACGCCAGAGCAGATGGATGCCTGAAGGAAGCTGTGACCCCACAGGGAGCCCGCGCTGGAGTAGGCTCCTGCCAGGACCTGCGGACCCGTGGAGAGAGGAGCCCACATCGGAGCAGGTTTGCTGGCAGGGCTTGTCACCCTGTGGGGGACCCCCTCCGGGGGTGAGGAGTCCTCCCCCTGAGGAGGCAGGAGCAGCAAAGACAACGTGTGATGAAGTGACCTCAACCCCCATTCCCCGTCCCCCTGCGCTGCTCGGGGGGTGGAGATAGCGAAAATCAGGAGAGAAGTTGGGCCCAGGAAGAAGGGAGGGGTGGGGGGAAGGTGTTTTAAGATCTGGTTTTATTTTTCATTACCCTTTTCCGATTTAAATTGGTCAGAAATTACATTAATTCTCCCAAGTCGAGGCTGTTTTGCCCATGGCGGGAGTTGCTGAGTGGTCTCTCCCTATTCTTATCTCCACCCACCAGCTTTTTATTGTATTTTCTCTCCCCTGTCCAGCTGAGGAGGGACGCAGTGATAGAGCAGCTTGGTGCGCACCTGGCATCCAGCCAAGGTCAAACCACCGCAAAATTGTAGTAAAGATCTCCATAGTCTCGATAAACAGCTGTCAATAGCTATGTCAATGAAGCATTTCAAGCAGCCCCAGGCAGACGATGATGAGGGCCAAAACATAGGTCTTGACAGCCCTTCCCATACAGGTTTTCAGTCTACTTGGACACAAATTCTGCAACTGATTTTTTTGCATGCTGTATTTTTTAGGACAAAAGACATTTTATTCACACACACAGACAGCAGTATGTATACCCATATTAAAACTGAGTATCAAACTGTGCAATTCCACAGTGGCAGAGGTAAGACTAAGTCACACAGAAGGCACCTGGATTTCACAGGGAAGAGAATTATGGCATCCACCAAGGTAACCCTGAATTAGAGATAAGCATAATATTTTTTTTTTTTTTCCTGCTAAACCAGAAACCCTCTCTAACCACTCAATCTAAGCAAACAAGCCCTGAAAATGTAAAAAGCAAGTCTCTCAAAAACCCACACTCACCAATACCAAGCACCCTAGGAAAACAAGTATAACCTCAATTTGCCATGGACTTGGATCAGACAACCTCTAAAGGTATGTTCTAACTTATATCATTTTACACACAAAACAAGGATCAAAGTTTCCATAACAAAACCTGTGCCAAGCTGTTCCTCCAGCTGGAGGCAGAGAAATGTGACTGCTATAATAATGGCAGTACATCATCTTCACATCCACAAATTTGACATCATTAAAGGAGGCTTTTATTACAGTAGCTAGCCTCTGATTAATTCTCTTAGATATTTACTTCCTTGCTCTTGAAGTGTATAAAGCTTCTCAAGTACGATGCACAATATTCTGGTCAGAAGGACTATTACTAATCCTGAAATCCACAGCTTTGTACACGTAGGAGAAAGCAATTTCCATTTTATCCCCTATTTTGTGACCAAGTGCTTGTAGTGCATTTTAAGCCAAGTTAGAGAAAGAAGTTGCTCTCGTCACGTTCATCATCTAACAAGATTTCAGCTCTCTATTAATAATTAATAGAGTTTGTTTTCAAAGTCATGCCTGCATCCTGGTTATGAGAAAATAAGCAGAAGGCAGAAAATAGATGAACAGAACATTCTCACATGCCCAGCTTTATCCTCAGAAACTGAGAAAAAACATCCTTTGGTTATTTATGTCACTGAGCCTTGTACAATTCATGCATCAAAGGGTTAAAGAACCAGATCTTCCCCAAGAGTTCAAGTCACTGCACATAAATACTGTTGTGACTACAGATTGCAAAAGAACGGAAACACAGTAAATCATCCCATTTTTTCTGAGAAATTCTGGGACTATGTTCTGAATTTCCAGGAACAGAAGACAAACACTGCCAATTCTCACTGCTGGATTTTTATTGAAGAGTTCGAGAATTTGGAAAGGGCTCCTGAAAGCCACTAAAAGGTAGTATTGATTTTTTCCACAAAGCTAGAGATTGTTTCTAGGAGGATGCACTCAGTGTGACTGGTTTATGTGCTAACTCCTCAGAAAGTTAAAAAAAAAAAAAAAGCTCTTAAACAAGACCCAAAAGCTTCTGAAAGCAAACACTGAAAACTCAGAGCCCAGTAAGAAAGTCCGAAATCTATACCTTGCCCATCTCCCCAATAAAAGAAAAAGGAAGGGTAGAGGGGGGGTGCTGGCAGCAAGGCATCCTAAAAGACATTCTGCAGTGCATATTCACTTATCCAGGTTCTCATTTCTCTCACTGTCTGCTTTAAACATAATCCCAGACTCCAACACGTCAATTTATTCTAAACACTTGAGTTATAACATTAAGGTTCCAACCTTGGGGACTCTGGAAGAATGTTCTCTACAGCCTTCCCTTCATATTAAGTCAGAAAATGTACTAAAAAAATAGAATACTTCTTCACACTCTAATCTAGAGCATATTTAATTTAACCTTCTTTCAGCCCTTTACCAACACAATACTGGCACTGCAGCCAAATTTGAAAGACAAGCTGATGAAAGCTTCTAAGTCAGATTTAGTAGGGGTGGAAAAACAGATGTTCAAGGGTTTTTTTAATGTGAACTTCACTTCTGACAGAAGGAACAGTAGTTGTGAATGGGCTTCCAAAGCTAGTCTTTAAACCAGTTACAAGCACTTAGGATAGTTAACACACAGTAAGCTATGACCAAAAATAATTACTTTACAGGGAGTCACTTTCCCACCGTCTTAAGTCACCCATGTTGCTTTGACAATTCTAGTCTGTCGGTTGCCCCAGGCTAAAGCAGATTATCTACCGGGTTTCTAAGAGCAAGGGGAAGTACCAAGGAAAATTCACACTCTTACTGCTTAAGAACCAATAAAGACAATATTTCATGAGAAAGTTTGACATCCAGTAAAGAATATGCAGCTCAAAAATGACTGCTTACAATGTCTAGTTTCTCTTACACAGCTCTCCCTCTGTTTCGCATCATGACTTGGACGATACTCCAAATGAATTGGAAGCATAATTTCACAGCGCATCAAAATTATGAAGTCCAGGCACATCTATTCACATATTCTTTAAAAATCACAGATACAAATATAGTAACAGATTTTCAGTAACACCCGATTTCTCAAAGTCCATTCTATTTTTATAGCTGAAAAGCAGTTATAAAGGAACTGTTATGTTTTTCCTGTTATGAGGAAGAGCTTTCAGGTACATTCACTGACAACTCAGCATATACTAAGATTAGTCTTTTAACTAATTTTAAAGTTCCTGTTGGGGGAAAAAATTGTAAATTGGTATATTACAAAACAGATGCATAAATCCTACAGAGGTTTGGTGGGGATTTTTGTTGTTGTTTTCATTTGGGTTTTTTTGCTTTACTCTCAAATGAGTAGCATGACTGTAGTTTCCTCTTGGGAGAAAGAGGAAAAGGTTTCAATACCATATGATACTCTGTTTAATTATTTGTGTATCTGCAGGGCCCAGAATCATAACTGAGTCCTTAGGGTGGCAAGCACACTACGAAAACAATAGAAAAAAGGGCAAAAAACAGGTCATGCCCAAAATAACAAATCTGCAGTTCCATAAAAAATACAAAGCATGCATTATGCCAACCACAATTGCCTGGGGAAAAAATAAAAGACAACTTCTAAGTGCATTTTTGCCTAGCACCTTTGCATTGAGCTGAGGGGTTTTTTAATATATTCTTTGCGATATGCCATATTGGCTGCTTAGATACAGCACAATGACTCGACAAACATAGGATCTAACCAAGTGTAAAAATCTCTGCTTTTGTTCCTACAAACACAGCATTCAGCAAACATTGATACTTTCTGGTGCACGGCATTTCACTAGTGTCATAGCTTGCCATATTTTTTTTGGCAATAAGTACCTTCTCCCAAATATGAACTGGCTATTCTGAGGACAGCCATCAAATCTCAATCAGTATATATTTGTGACCCAATTTTTTCAGCAGCAGGTCTTGAATACGGGATAGTAACAGAGGCTCTGTTCCCAAACATTAGCAAAACCCAGAGAATTGCCAGACAGCTATTAGCAGTTTGATGAAAAGTTTGAATTCACAATCAATCACTGGTACACAGCAACACGATGCTACAAGCTGACAGGAACATGCAGTTTCATAACTTACTATGCGATAAGGAAGATGTAAAAAGGAGTCTGGGCAGCCAGCTAAAGCCATTTGTTCCTCCAAATTTTCTTCAAATTACATCTACTGCTTCACAGGACCTGCAGAGTACAAACAAACTGTCAGAAACCATATCGAAGACATTTCATCAACTTATTATTGAAAACAGTTGCAGGGGAAAGACTGAGAAGAGCAAGATGAGGTGATGAGGACTTGCATCAACTTGGAGTAGCAAATCTGCACATTTGCTGTCTGTAGACTACAAAACATGTTCAACCTGATATGTCATTCAAAAGGCCAACATAACTACTCTCAGGCTGGATGGCTCCTCCTTCGCTTCCACAGTCCAGGCTAAAAACCAAGCCTTTCTTCACACCTAGACCCTAACCATTTGAAGACTGGCTCCCACCAACTGAGGCTGTGTTTTCAATTGTGGAAAGAAAACACTGAAATCTGGGAGTTCACTAAGACGATAGCCACTTATTATAGAAACATTTAGGTTGGAAGAGACCTGTAAGATAGAGATCATTAAACAGCACTAGCTTTCAACACCTAGGTACACAGCTTCTTTCCTTTTCCCTTTCCCGCCTGCCTTTTCTCTCATGCAATGCATCAAACAGTGTCTCCCATGCAAATCTGCATTCAAGTCTCACATTTCCTCTTTTGAATGCTTATTAGCATCAACTTTGCAAGGTGAGTAGTGCTTCTTTTAAGCATCACTTCAGTGAACAGATCAAGCTTGAAGTCTAAGGCAAACATTTAGAGGTGCATATGGCTAAAGAACTAAAAACACAAAAGAGAAGGCAGTATTAAACCAATGTCAAGAAAGTGATTTTAACTTCTCCTTCAAAACAAAGGAAACAAAATTAAACAACAACATATATATATATATATATAAAGCACTATTTGCTGGTCGCAGCATTTTTCCCAACCAGTGACATTCAGCTGGAGACATCTCTGCAGAATAAGACAAGTGATGCCACCTCCGAGCAGATGAAAAAAGGGTGACTGGGGAAGAGAGCAGACTGCAAAGCAAAGCCAGAACTTCTAACACAAGCAAGTTCCTGACCTGTAAGATAGAGATCATTAAACAGCACTAGCTTTCAACACCTAGGTACACAGCTTCTTTCCTTTTCCCTTTCCCGCCTGCCTTTTCTCTCATGCAATGCATCAAACAGTGTCTCCCATGCAAATCTGCATTCAAGTCTCACATTTCCTCTTTTGAATGCTTATTAGCATCAACTTTGCACGGTGAGTAGTGCTTCTTTTAAGCATCACTTCAGTGAACAGATCAAGCTTGAAGTCTAAGGCAAACATTTAGAGGTGCATATGGCTAAAGAACTAAAAACACAAAAGAGAAGGCAGTATTAAACCAATGTCAAGAAAGTGATTTTAACTTCTCCTTCAAAACAAAGGAAACAAAATTAAACAACAACATATATATATATATATAAAGCACTATTTGCTGGTCGCAGCATTTTTCCCAACCAGTGACATTCAGCTGGAGACATCTCTGCAGAATAAGACAAGTGATGCCACCTCCGAGCAGATGAAAAAAGGGTGACTGGGGAAGAGAGCAGACTGCAAAGCAAAGCCAGAACTTCTACCACAAGCAAGTTCCTGTCTTGTCCACTGTTAATTATCAATTATGTATTCAAAACAAAAGTCCAAGTTTTAAACAGGCTACCCACTGCTTTCTAGTGGGCATAAACTCTCACCAAACCAAAGTTCCCAGCAAGATTTATGGGACAGTTAAGTCATGGAAAGTGTAAAAGAAACCTTGGAAAAACTGCTCCTGGAGGAGTTGCAGCCTATGGTCCACATAAATCATGCATTCATCAAGAAAGCTTTATTTTATATAGTTCCAGGATAAGTTTGGCTGAGGTATGGTAGCCACCTCCTCTATCAGAAAGGCAAGCAAACCCGTGGGAGCTTCTTTCCAGGAAGGAGTTTCCGGGCTTCTGCAGTTTTCCTGAGGTAGGAACTTTCCGGGATCAATTCATATAGCAAACTACCTTGGGATGAAACTGGTTTTGGCAAGTTTTAAAATCTATTTAACCCAATGTGCATAAATCAAACAGTTTATTCTAGATATTTTTTCCCGTACCATTTACTTAAGTTTAAAACCAAAATTTTACAGGATTGGGGGGGGGGGTGGGGGAGGTGGAATAAAGCCTCAAACATTTAACTCTGTGGGCATGATACTCAACTTGTACTGTTGCTAGTCTTCAAACATACAAACAGTGGTCTACAGCCATCTAGCTCCCACTTGACACCTAAAACCTTGCAGTCAGTTTTTAAGACGGATCTGAAATCTGCCTCATTTGTTCAGTTTGTTCTGGGAGAATTAAGCACAGATTTACGGAAACCTCTTATCTCGGCTGATGTATGCCAAAAAAAAAAAAAGAAAGAAGCTTTTCACTTCGGGCAGTACAGTTTTCTGTAAGTATATCTAAAGTGAAATTAGGCAAGCCACTGGAATAGATGTGCTGAAGTTGGTACAATGCATCAAAACAAAGAACTGTATTAACAACCTGTAAGCCCACCAAGACTAAAGAAAGTTTAGGTAAAGGAATGAAGGAAAAGAATTCAGCCTTACTTTGCAACAGTTTCATGTTTATTATCACTTCAGTACTTAGAGAACAGAAAAACGTACGATGGCTGTAAATTTAACTGTAGGTTTAGGACCGAATATTAAAATACTGGTCTTTCTCTTGATGTTTCAGCAAAAGGCATCAATTCACTTACAGCAAGATAGATTAAATATGTTCCTAAACAATACCAGACCAATTTGTCTACTCTAGGGCGTGCTGCAGTTTATGCCACAGCCCCATTACGCCAATGGAAGATCATCAATTACCTCGAACAATAGTTGGAGTCAAGGCTGCATAATTTATCAAGACCCATTTGCTTCACTGCTACATTCTTGAGCATTCATTTGTTAACACCGCAGAAACAGAGGACAGCAATAATCTCTAGATGATATCATTCCTGGTCAGTCACACATTAACACTGATGTAAGATTGCATCTCTTTTGTCTGTCTAAAAGCAGTCCTACCCTAGGAATACAAAAAGCCTTTGCTCACCTTTAAGGTCTAAGGCCTTGCTGTACCACATCGACGAGTAACAACTTTATTTATAGAGACAGAACTCTACACCAATTTATGTGCTCCGCAGATAAAAATCAGGATTTAAAAAGGACAAAAATAAATCAACTCTTTTTTTGCTATTGTCTTTAAACGTGATTTTTAGCATGCCAGTTCTCTTCAGAGACCGTAACTGCATAGACTTACATGTTCTTTCCAGGCAAGTTAAACAGCACGAATCGCAAAGAGAGGTAAGTGCCAAGTTACTGCCCTTTTCCTAAAACGCCTTAGATGGGGGAGGGAGACTCCAAAGGATTGTAAACAGAAAACAAGCTATGTAGTCAATCACTGCTACAAAACTTGGGACATTCAGTGGCAAGAACAACTGTCATGCAGCAGCAAGCCAGACAGCCTGTGCACACGCAAAACCAAGTGACCCCATGTGCTTTTGCCGGCTTAAGAGGTCACCTTTGGCCAGCGTCCCTGAAAGGAAGACAGTCACGATCAACCCAAGTTTCGAAGGTCATGAGATTCGGTTTTGGTGCGATATTCTCTAGCCTAAAGAACAGCCTATTGTGAGGCATAGCTTTGACATCTCGGTCCCTCAAAAGCGTTAAACCAACTCATACCATGTAAACCAAGGTTGATATCCATCCCGCACGGAAAATGTTGCGGTTCTCGCCCTGGAGATTACCGCTGCTCTGCATGAGCTGTTTCTAGCCACAATCAAATTACTCACCTAACCAGTAGCTTAAGTTATGTATTAACTGCAAATTAAGCTTGTCACCAGGTATGCTTTTTTGATCCATCACTTGCTCTCTGCGTGCTCCCGGCAGCAGAAACGGTTCTCGCCCAGTGCTCCGGAGGCACACACAGCCTACGCACCTACAGACGCTGCCGCAGGAAGATGGCAGGGGTACGGTCACTCTGCCAATGCAGGAAGTTCTCCAGGTTCTGCATGTGCCATCTGTCAAAGTCTTTAAATTCAAGAGAAAAATAATATTTAAAACGCAATCACTTGCAGATTAGTTAGGAACAGGAGGAAGGGAAAAAAAAAAAAAAAGAAAATATTTTAACCTGGCAGAGTTGCAAGACAAGCTCCAGAGCTCTTGAAAACTGGAGTTATGCTCTTTTACGAAAGGTAACTTAACACATTTGTTGAATACTATTCTGAGCCCTGGGTATTTCATTATTTTTCTTCGGTAATGTTTTGCTTTCTGTAACTGAACTACTGTGGGTGGGGGGAGGCTTCAATATAGCCTTAAATTTTGACCTACCTGAAGACCTTTCTCCCAGACCTCTGGTCTAACATACAGGTCAAAAATCTTGCCCTTTCTTTTATGTATCTTTTTCTTTCTCAGATATTCAGTGTCACCACTTCATTTCTCCCCATGCTACAACATGAGCCTTAGCAGATCAAACCTGGATTTTTATAAGAAATTAGAACGGACTCTTAAAACAATCCAGTTCAGACAATATTCTCCCCGAAGTCACCTTAAGCACCCTCTAGGTCAACTACTAGACTTACAGTCTAACATCTTGAAGGGCCAGGGAAAAAAGTCCCTGTCTTGTTGGCCCACGCAAAGAGCAATCCGCAAAATCCCAACTCTCTACCCACCCGGCTCCAGGCTCCCCACTATTTCACAGCATTTAGGAAAGTGTTTTGTTTTTTTTCTGCAGATATCTATCTATCTCTATATATATACACACCACTGAAATATGGCTTCAAGACAAGGTAGTTAAATGGATGCATCTAGCAATCTTCTACACCAGCACCAGGCATGAGAACACATACAGTTATACTTTCTTACTAGTCTACTCCTATTGCCATAGTTACAATGGAAATAAGATTTGGATATGAGTAGCATGAGGCATGCCAGTGAATTTTCTGTAGTTGACAGACCTGACAGCTAACAGTGTCCCCAGCTGCATTCAAACCGTGGCACCCAGATGTGCTTTTCCATGCAA